TTTTTTGCACGCCCGGGTACCGCGGGCGTCAGCCCCCCCCGGGCGTCAGGCCCGGGTGCCCGGCCGGGCGTGAGAATCTTCCTAGCCCATTACGTTATATTATGCTATTTCCCTTTTGGATAAGTCCAGGCTTATCATAGTGTACTGTTGTGGCTAAGTTGAGGAGTCGGTAGAAGAATAGGGAAAAGCTAAAGGGTATAAACTACTATAAAGAAAAACAGGAAATAGAAAGAGGGAATAGGAAATGATGCTAAGTTATGCTATTTGCCTTGTGGATAAGTCTGGGGTAATCAGAGGTTAGTGTTGTGGCTAAGTTAAGGAGTCAGTGGAAGCATAGGGAAAATCTTCTAAAGGGTATAAATAATAAACTTACTATAAAGAAAAACAGGAAATGAAAATAGGGAACAGGGGATGATCCTAATTCTGGTCAAATGATGTGATGGGATTGTACATCGTTGCAGGAGGTTTGATACAAGTTCTCAATACATCGAAGGCGGGGAGCAGAGATGAAGGATCGCGAGGAGCACGGGAGAGGGAGGAAGCCTCTTTCCCATCAAATGCGCATATTATCTCACACGGAGGACGCGCAGGGGAATCGGAAACCTTGATGAAAAAGGGAAAGAAAGAGGAGAAATTCTCCTGGAATGAGCAAGCGGATTTGATCCGTCGATACTTAAAGCAGCAAGAGGAGGAGGAGGAGGTGGCGGCGTCCTCCATTTATTTTCTGCCTTCTTACCCTTTTCATGCCCCATGCTGCTGCCCCTGTTTGCTCCCCCATCCCTTAGTCCTCTCTGTTTTTTTTTTTTTTTTTTTTTTTTTTGAACTACTACTTTTTTCCTCCGCCCTTTGTTCATCAGGGTATAGCAGTTTTCTCCTAACTTATTATGCCTTCTGCTTGTTGACGGTGTTATTCTCTCTCTCTCTCTCTCTCTCTCTCTCTCTCTCTCTCCCCCCTTTTTGTTTAGTGTACTACGAGTATGTGTTCCACCTCTCTGGGAAGAGGTTTCTGCGTTGAGAATCTGAGATAAAAGTCCCTTTTTTTTTCCTATGCTGTTTATCCGGGCGCCCGGGCACCCAACTTGTGCCCGGATACACGCCCGGGTGCCCGGCCGGGCATGACCCCCCGGGCAGGGTTCCGGGCAGCCTCAGCGTCAAAAAAAAAAACAAAAAACAAAGCCAAAAAAATCCAAGTGATCTCTTGCAAGCGCCTGCAAAGCACGGAAGATTTGACGCGTAGTGTCGATAGCTTTGTTATGTTTCCAGTCAATTATCTAAAAATGGAACAGTCAATAGACCGACAGGAACAGAAGTCATTAGTAAAACACCTAATAGTTTATTTGGTACTGTACGCAAATGTTGTGTAGAATTGCAATACAATCAACTTTTGTAAAATTGCAATACAAACAACTTTTGGCTGAGGGTCACATCAGAATTCCTCACCGAATTGGAGATAAAAAAGAAAATAAGAAAATCACACTAAGGCACCCCCCTTTGAACCCCCTTAGCCCCTTTAAAACAAATTTATACCTCCCTTCCCCCCCCCTTGAAAGCCAACTATCGAAAAATGAAAAGAGCCCGGATTTGGGGTCCTCTGGGAGAACGCAGAGAGGCCTTTTTTTTTTTTTTTTTTTGTTGCACGCTCGGGTGCCCCGGGCGTCACTTGGGTGCCTGGCCGGGCATGAAAATCTTCCTAGTTGTTTTTCTCATTTCTCAATTTATGCTTGTCGTCCTTTCACAAGGGCCATGCTAATTTTCATTCTCATTCTGTGTACAGTTCCAATTTTAACGGATGTCCCGAAAGACACTTTCTTATTATTCTTAAAAAACAAAAGAAGTGTCACTTAATGTGATGAAACGGTTCAAGGGTAGCAAATTTTGTCCTTTACAAAACTGTAATCCTGGTGTTGTGCACGCAAAAAGGAGGTGGACGATGAAGGGGTATGCGTTTCTTATCCAGAAGACAATAGTCCCATCAGGGAGATAGTACTCTTTTCTTCGGATTTTTTTGTCCTTTTGTTGTTGCCGACGGCCATCCTTGTGCATCCGTATCAGCGGTCCCTCAGAGAGGAGGAGGAGTAGGAGTAGGAGGAGAAGAAAGATCCAGATCTGTATTCTATTCCTCCTCTTCTACGATGGTCGGCAGTCATTCCAAAAGGAGATATCCTCCCATGGGTTTTCGATCGAGTAAACAGTTGGCCTCGCTCCACTACTCACTGAATGTGCAAAATGAGAATGAATCTTTCCCTGGACAACACGGGAAGATACACCGCCACATTTTTTGTCCTTTGTGCATGTGGTGAGTAGTGGAGTGGGGCCCAATGTTAGGGGAATCAGTCATGTGAAGAAATCTGTTCATTGGAAGTTCATCATTTTGTGTGAATGCTGAAACTTGGCTTTAGAGTTGATGGGGCACCGGAGCTTATCTTTCTTTTACTGTTATGGATATTCAACTTTATTGTGCTATGCAGTCTGATGAAGACGAAGAGAACGCGAGCAGTTCCGAAGATGATTGGGAGGTGGGTCCATCTTCTTATGCCGGTGCTGCGCTGACCTTGACTAGGGAGCGAATAGATGACTGCTGCCTATTCCTATTCTGTTGTTGGGGTCCCTTGGCTGTCTGTTGGGGAGAGTGAATAGTGTGTGTGTCCTGTTCCCTATTCCTCTTCGGTTGGTGAAAACAGGAGCAAAAGAGGGTGTGTCGGCTATTCTGTTGGTGGGCAGTGAATGAGTGGCTGTTGTCTATATTCCATTGGGTAGCGAATACGGTTTGTTCTGTTTGCTATTGACTATTGGCTATTCCCTTGCTGTTGGCAAATCGCAGAATGTGTCAGAGCATTAGACACATGAAGGTCCATATTATGGTAAACATTGCAAATAAGAATAACTGATGATGATGATGATGATACTGATGATGATGACGATGATGATGATGGTGGTGGTGTACTGCATGTGTGGGACGGTGTGGCCCAGAACATCTAACGGGCATCACAAATCTGTTATTGCCTCAAACTTCTGTTGGCTAGTTGGGGCTGTATACGCTGACATCAATCATCATTTGCCATTTTTCTTGGGACCAAACACTGGTGCTGACTTCTGCCAGCGACAACTCCGCTGGTCACCAATTTGCCATTCCGTCATCTCTCAGCGCCAGGCAGATATTTAGCGACTCAGCAACTGTGGGGAGACGGGAGCCCGCAAGATCGGATTTCCAATCATTGTTGTTTTACCGTCATTGTCGCCGCCATCAGCACCATGACCATCATCATCATCATCATCATCATCACCACCACCGCCACCACCACCCACCACCACCACCACTCACTGACGAATTCAACCAGTTGCCTGCTCCGGGTCGAAAGGCCTGGGTAACCTTCTCGAGGTCCATTGTTCGTTGTGACGAGGGGGGGGGAGTTGGGGGGGGGGGATAGATTCTTGTAATTTTTATCAATTAACAAGTTCCACATCAGCATCGCTGCGAACCTCAGCTCGGACCCACTTGAAACGGGCATACCACGGGTGCATCGGGGTGTGTCCTGAGCAAATTTTACCGTTTTTCTATTCATCGAATTTCATTGGCAAATCAGGGCATTGATTTCCATGCCGATTATCATTGGCATGCTGTTTGTTTTCTTGCAGGTATGGGCAGATCCAAGGGAACAAATGCGAAGGAAACAAGAGCGGAAGGTGAGCGCCTTCCACCCACTGCCCCTGTTGCAGTAACCTGGGGAGCACAAAAAATGTTTCTCACAACTTGTTATATATTTTTTTCCCATCTGATGGAGCAAGAAGGCCACCATAACAGTAAAAGGTTGAATATCTTTTTTTTAGTAGTTAAGTCTATGAATATCTTTTTTTTTATTATTATTATAGTTAAGTCTAATCCATTAGGACCACTTTAAACCACCAGTACACCCGGGCCTCTTTTTCCGAGCCGCCAGCGGCGCACTTTCCTAACTGCCAACGCGGCACTTCTCTTCTTTTTTGGCTGGCGGCGCCAGCCGTTATGGTCCGGTAGGCCCTAGGTGCAAAAACAATCTTGTGGCGACAAGATGTTTTGCTGCAAGGCTGGGGCCGTGTACTTGTGCCTTAAGGGTTCTACCATTCTAGTCATGGTGCTCTTAAATCCAACAAGAAACGCATAGTTTCACCTCCAAAAATAATCACACCGCTTGGAGATCTCATAAGGTATTTACCTAAACCAGTCGGTCCTTGGGCAGATAGATTGTACATTAGCACCAAGTCTTTGGTTTTTGAAGCGCGCCCTCCGGCAGTGGGCTCGACTCTCTTCCATCGACTGCTGCTATAGAGCAAACTGGAAGCGGGAGAGCATTGGGGAAGAGTGTGAGAGAGCAAGTCCTGTGAGGACAGGTCTTTGAGCTTGAGATCCTTTTGTCCTTTTGTTATCGTCGCCCCATCATTTTTCGAATTTGTGAATTTTCAGCATGATAATTGAGACCCATATTCAACTCACTCAATTACTGCAGCTCGTGTATGTTCTGAGTTCTTGCTGCGTTTCGTTCTCAATCGCCATGCTGGTCAGCATGCCGATCACCCTGTTTGTTGATGATCCCTTGTGTCCGTTAAGTGGTGGCATATCTTAAGATCCTTAACAATATTTGTTAAAAATCAGAGTTTCACACCTTCAATGTATTCGTCAGAGTTCGTTGCGCATGTGTGGTTCATCACATTGGTTTTGGAACATCACAATTGATTCCTCTGGACTGCAGGGGAGCACTGCTGAAAGCATATCAGCTGGAAACCACCTCTTGAGCATGTTGGGTGCAGCCCAACCGATGATATGTTGTCGTCGCGTTTTGAGCTGTTGTCTCTTTTTGCGATGACGATGTTGTAGCTTGCATTCTCGATCCCTTGTCCAGTCGGACTGAGTTGTTGCTTGTTGTCTTTGCAGTGCAGCTGCCGGGTTTGGACCTCGGCCTGAAGGACTGTAGGCTGGTAGTCTCCACTCAGTAGGCTAGCCGTACCGAGGCAGAACGGGTGTAGCAAAATCGCTTGGCCGAGAACGAGTCAGCCTGACTGTCTGAGATCACTCGGACGCTTTGTGGAAGTTGAGCAAGAGAATAGGGAAACCAGTTTGCTCGTCGGGAAGTGATGGGAGATGAGGGGGCGCAACCATATCCGCTTGTTACTTGCCGCCGAGATACTCGATCGTTTTGCTACCTGTTTGGTCAACTTCGTGACAATTTCGGTAGAAACACAGTGTCGGGTAGTTCGCCTGACGCATTATGATTTGCACTTCATGTAAATTTTTAAACACAGTTACCTGCGCTCGGTTCGTTAGTTCGTCTTCTCCTGTGTGGTGTGCTCTTGAGTATGCTGCAGGCGTATGTGGTCGGACATGTATGTGTTTGTTCACCTTGACTAGCGTTTGCTACAACTTTCGTTGTATATTTTTTTTGCTAGGCTGTCTGGTGCCCCCAATGGGACGATTAACTTCCAAGTTGCAAGCGATATCATCAAAGGTTGCAGCTGTGTGTGTATGGATGTTGGGAAACTGATTTTTGGAGTTCCGATGAATGAAGTGTATGCGATCGATTACTTGTGAGAAGTTGTGACAGATTGTCAAAAATTTGCTGGAGTGCTCTGCAGAATTCTGGGTTGAATTGAGTACTCAGTGCGCTTTAAGTTTCTAACAGACCATGTAATGTATTGTTGGCTTTGTTCGTGCTGCTTTTTTTCATGTGGCAGAAAGTTGTTGACCCAGCAGCACGGGCAGTTTCTGCGGCAGCTGAGTTTCGAGCTGCAAAGGAAGAGGCAATGAAGGCCAAGGAGAAGGGAGACAAGCAAAGGCAGATGGCAGCCGGGAAAGTCATCAGGGAGCTGAAGGAAGAAATGGCCAGGCTAGGTAGGTCAGTCGTAAGCAAAGAAGAAAGGAGGAGAGAGAGAGAGAGAGAGAGGGATCAGGTTCAGAACTTCCAACTTCAAACTGCAAAACTGGATTTTATTTACGACTTCCATGCAATCAGTCACACAATTGAGGGCTAGCAGGACTCTAATCTAATCCGTTTAATGAATGTGCAAATTTGCAATAGATAAGTGCAAAAACAGCGTACCTCAGCAATCAGTCATATGACGATTGGGGTGTAGGAGTAGTCTAATCAAGTACGATGTACAACCAATGCAGCAAGAAGCAAATTAGTCGGCATCGACTCTACAGTCATGGGAAATTTTGCATCGGCTCTGCAATCATGGAAAATTTTGCATCGACCTTGCAATCATGGAAAATACCTCAGCAAAGAGTCAGCAGGATAAACAGTATTAAACAGTATTAAACACCCATCCAAATAACTCCAATATTTGGCCCTGAGAAATGGCACAAATCACACCGGAATGGGCCGAATGGCTGATGGGGTTCTTTCTTTCTCTCTTTCTTTCTTTCTTTCTTCTTCTTCTTCTGTGTTTTTTTATGGGTTTCCTATACGTTCTTTATTTGCTTTTCGCAAATTGTACTGGAATAGCTTTTTTTTTTTCAACTCACAGGCCCCTTCTATTCTGGGGGCCAACAGTCTGTTACTGATCACCGGCAAGCTTGTTTGTACATCCAAGAAAAAACGGGGAGAATACTAGTGAAAGAGTCAGCCTATCCCTTGTGGCCCTCACCGCCTACAAGGGGGACCTGCTACAGGGCATCCCTCCCCCCAATCCCTGAGGAAGGGGGGCTGCCCTGCTGGTCGGGAAGCTTACTAGCAGCACCCAGTCACACAGCAGTGCAGCCTCCGAGATGACAGGACGCTTTGGGGGGAGCCCTGATCACAGTCTCATGCAGCATCTTATCCAACCCCAATTACCCTTTCCTCTGCCTGAGCCATATCCACCCCATTTATACATATTCCGGGCCTTATGTTGTCCTAATATCATTTTGTCGCTGGTTTCCAGCCCTACCACTATAAGTCCCCATTTTTCCGGCAGCACCTTCGTACTTACTTTTGTCTTACTCCTTTTCTTTTCTTTTCTTTTTTTTCCCCTTATCTTTCACTTGTTCTTTTTACTTTAGCTGATGGGAATCTTAGACATTGACTGTCAACAGGTATTCCAGTTCAAGCTTGGCTGCCTGTCTGCGGATCACTATTTTAGGTACCTGAACTAAAGTCTTGCCTTTTATATTGTACAAGTGGACCTGCCGCAGCAACGCTGCTGCGAACGACGATGACAAACCATTTTGCAAAACTCCCGAGCCATCAGTTGGATCGTATCTTTGCAATGTGCCCCTACGGGACGCTGCCCAACTTTGCAAAATGCCCCGGCAGTTGCTAAGTTTTCGC